GGGCACCAGGGCCAGTGGCCCTGGGGATGGGAAGCATTATGGTATATATAGAACGCGTGGGAAGCCCGTCGCTATAAAAAGGGATGGGGTCAGTGAAAACAAAATACCCTGAGAATAAGGAATTGCTATAACCTGGGTCAACAATCCTAAAGCTGTCTTAGCTGATACTATTTTTTCTAAGGGAAGTGGCTTTTTTTTAGTATAGAATGACGGGAAGTTATCAAATGTATATCAATGGCTGGATTTTTTTTTCTAGTATGTTCAGCCTCCGTATTCCCACCATAGACCAGGCTTTTGTTTCGTGACTCTCAGGGGGTTCTGCTCTATACATGATTTCCTCTACCTTTGCTATTTTGAGATGGGAAGCATATGTTTTAATCCTCTTCTGTAACAACTGGATTATGTAATGCTGAAGACCACCCCACTGTGTTTTCACTGTGTTTTCACCCATGGTACTCACTCAACTCTCTGAAACCATGCAGAGTTCTCTCTGATGCCAAGGTGGCTCACACATTTTTTTTTTTAAGATTTATTTATTTATGCATAAAGAACAGGCCAGAGGTGTAGGGGGGCGAGAGGATTCACTGAGACAGAGTGGGGAACAGAACAGGCAGATTAAAGGAAATACACTGTTGAGGGGAGCAGCGGGTGAGACAGGAGAGGTCTGCTGCCCCATGTGGGTTGCTCCCTGGCTGGGAATCGGACTCGTGCTGCAGTGGCCACGGCTAGCTTAATAGGTTGCATCTTTTTTTTTTTAAATTTAAATATTTTATTTTATATAATTCTTACATCTTTTTTCAATTTTGCACAATGTATGCATTTTCATTTTGGTTATATTCCCTATACAATTGCACCCCCACTCCTTGTTTTGACTCTAGTCCTTCTTTCCCCACCCCCCACCCCCACCTAGTGTGTCTCTGGTTTATAGTTGTTTGTTGATTTTGATTTTTACTTTGTATTGATTAGTCTTTTTCCTGGTCTCTTATTTAAGTTTTCTAAATTCCTTCTATGAGTGAGGCCATCCGGTATTTTTCTTTTTCTTTCTGACTTATTTCACTGAGCATGATCCCTTCTAGCTCCATCCATGTTGCTGCAAACTGCGTGTGTTTATCTTTTTAGATTGCTGACTTGTAATCAGGGAAATGCAAATCAAAACTACCATGAGATACCATCTCACACCAGTGAGAATGGCACATATTAAAAAAACTAGCAACAACAAATGTTGGCAAGGTTGTGGAGAAAAAGGAACTCTCCTGCACTGCTGGTGGGAGTGCAAACTGGTCCAACCACTATGGAGAGCTGTGTGGAGATTTCTGGACCTACTAAACATAAAGCTTCCATATGATCCAGCAATTCCACTCCTGGGTATTTACCCAAAGGACACAGAAACAGTAATTCCAAAGGGCACCTGCACACCTATGTTTATAGCAGCACTATTTACAATAGCTAAGCTTTGGAAACAACCCAAATGCCCAAAAATAGATTACTGGATCAAGAAGATGTGGTGCATATACACCATGGAATATTACTCAGCAATTAATAGGTTGCATCTTAACCCCTGTGCCACCAGGGAGGCCCCAGGCTCATGCATCTTTGCTCCCACTTTTTTTTTTCCTTTTTTGTTTGCTTCTCTCTTTCTCTTCCCTGAAAGCTTACAGTACTGTCTCCTCATCTGGGCATTTCTCTCTCACTCCCAACAGCAAGTTACGTAGCACTCATTATTTTACGAGGAATGCCTTCATTTTCTGGTTGGTTTGTTTCTTCAAAGGGAATATCACAGTTCAACCTATGTCACAAATTCACTAACTGGACCTACCTCACAGTAAGCCCTGAAGAAAAGATATGAATGAATAAATGAGTGAAATGAGCTGAAAGTCTTCAATTGTTCCAACACCAGACTTCCTGGGTCCAGCACCCATCTCTGCGTAGTTTTCTAGCAAAGTGAACTCAAGCAAGTTTATTGAACTGCTATGTGCCTCAGTTTCCACATCTATGGATGATATGATGATAGTACCTACCTCATAGGATCATTTTGGGGATTAGATGAGTTAAATGCTTTTTATTGGGCACCAAAAAGGTGCTCCATAAACGTTGTTGTTATATATTTAAATGTTATCGACCACCTAAATTGCCACTGAACACATTGTTTAGTTTCAGGAGCAATACATTTTTCAGGAATGATGCATTCTCTCTGTAGTCACTGACCTGTAGGTGGTTAACATGGTCTTCACCTGCAACCATAAATGGCAGTGCTCCCATTCTGTGCTCCAAGACACAAGTAATTGGACATATCTGGGGGTTGAGGAAGGAATTAGAAGCTCCACCAGTAGATGCTTTCTGTGGCATAAGAATGTATTTATCCTGTTTTATTTTGATCATATTTGCTTTTGATGAATGGACTCTCTGGATTCAGGAAAAGACTTGGTGGAGTGGTTGGCTGTGGGATTGCCTGCGATCATAATATTCTCAACCTTGAGTGGTTGTGGGTAGCAAAGTTGGTGGCCAGAAACTATCCTTTAAAAGAATACAGGGCTGGCAAGATTTTTTTGTGGAATGTGACAAGCTGCTCCTAAAATTTATATGCCAAAGACTTTTTGGTAACACCAAAAGACTTTGAATAGCCAGAAAATGTTTTTTTAATTTATTGAGGTGACATTTTTTTTTACATCACTGTATATGATTTAGGGGAATAGTTTGATCCCTCATATGTATGTCACCACACCACACCCACCACCAAAGCACCTATAGTCCTTAAGCCAAAGCCATTGGGCCCTCTCCCTGCTTTGTTCTCACCCTACCCTCTCTCTCCCCTAAGTCTCAATTCTTCAGTTATATTGTCTAAACAATTTTTAAATAAAGAATAAAATTGAAGGACTTTGATTTTCCAATTTCAAAACGTATTATAAAAGCTGTAGTCAAGACAGCGTGGTGTTGGCATAAGGATAGACATAGGATACAATAGGTGGAATTGGTAGTCCAGAAATAAATGCATTTATGCTTTACATGTATTTATGCTCAAATGATTTTTGACAGAGGTGCCAAGGTAATGCATTAGAGAAAGGACAACCTTTCTAACAAATGGTCCTGGGACAAATGGATACACATATAGAAAAAGCTGAACTCAGAAGTTCACCTCATACAACACATAAAAATGTACTTAAAATCTATCATAGACGTAACTATAAGAGCTAAAACAATAAAAATTTTTGAAGAAAATACAAGACTTCAGGTTAGGCAAAGATTTATTAGATATTAGATATAGCTACAAAAGCACAGGTCATAAAAATTGAGACCACATGTTGTATGATTCCAGTCATAGGACAAATGACATAGGATGTCATTCATACGACAAAGCACTAAAGACAGAATGTAGGCTGATGATTGCCTGGGCCAGCGTGAGCCATGGGAAGTGGGGATTAACAGTGAATATGAAGGATCTTTTTGGGGTGATAGAAATGTTCTACCTGCTTCATGCTGTATGGTGATGGTTGCATAGCTTGATATAATTTACTAAAACCATTGATTGTCCACTTGAAATGGGTGAGCTACATGACATGCAAAATATACCTCAATAAAGCCAGAGGTGACTGGAGAGGTGGGGGAAGGAGGAAGAGAGAAGGAGCAAGAGAATATGTGAGAGAGAATATGGGAGAGCTGGGAGAGCAGGACAACAAGGAGAATAGGTCTGGGCTGGAGCCAGATGTTTGAAACCTGGCAAGTCTAACCTCTCCCCCTCAGCTTCCTTTCAGTAAGTTTGGAGAAAATGATGTTATAAATTACCAAGCAGTGTTGGGAAGAATGCTTAATGCAGCGTTTGGGTCCTAAAGCTCAATAAATATTCTCTGTAATTATAGTAATGGCTCTTTTGGGTAGTAGTATTGAAATGACCAAGGATCCAGCTTTGATTTAGATCAACTTAATTTAAATCCTCAAAAAGTATTTGGACCGTGTGTTGCAGAGGACAATGATGGATCCTTGGGATGATTCCTCAGGGTCAGAGCACAGAGCACGGGTCTTGTCAGGCTGGGGAAATGGCGCGCTGGAGCCTTCCTCGTCAGAACTGCATCTTCGCAGCAGCATCATTGATGGAAGCATCACCCTCCTTACTGCCCATAAACGTGAGGGCCGCATGTGGTATTTCAACATTTCGGTCATAACCACCTCATGCCAGGTGCGACTAGGATGGAGGACAGGTGAGTTGAAGGTGTAGAGGGGAGTCACCACACCCCATATATTAGAATTTCTGGAGAAGGTGATGTCTCCTCTGAATCCCTTCAAGTTACCCACCTGAGGGGTGAGGAGATTTACCCACTACAGCTTGAGTGAGGCCCCAGAGGCCACAGCAAGCTTACTGATAGGGAGAGCAAAGTGAGGAGAATAGGCTGGAGCCTGTGGAGGACCTCGTGTGCCACGAAGAAGTTGCATTATCCCAAGGACTGTGAGGACCTGGGAGAATCCTCAGCATGTTCTAGGACAAGCTCTGAAATCTTTCCTTGATGTCCTTTGTGTTCCCATAATGCCATACATAGCACTCATTATTTTGCGAGGAATGCCTTCATTTTCTGGTTGGTGGGTTTCTTCAAAGGGAATATCACAGTTCAACCTATATCACCAATTCGTTAAGTGGACCTGCCTCACAGTGGGCCCTAAAGAAAAGGAATGAATGAATAAATGAGTGAAATGAGCCAAAAATCCTTCTCTATTATCAATGGTTCCAACACCAGACTTCCTGGGCCCAGCGCCCCTCTCTGCATAATTTTCTAGCAGAGTGAACTTGAGCACCACACCTGGAGAGACCCTGCTCCATGGAGCAGAAGCTAGTGAACCCCCTCCTCCCTGTTCCCCACTTGGATTTTACTTTTAGCCTCCTCAAGTGCAGGTGGTCCTCCACCGGCTGCATCCAAGCTTGCAGTTGGCATGGCCAGACCTCAGAAAAGGGCTCGTGAATGTTTCATATGTCCACCCTGGTGCCTGCTCTGGCTGTGAGCCCAGGATCAGCCCAGCGACAAGGGGCAGGTATTGCCGGTTACTACAGCATCACCTGGGAAGGATTGCACAGGGAGAGCCTCGGCCCAGGCCAGGGAGGCAGGAGGGTGTGTGGACAGAAGGGGCGGTAAGGCTGGAGCTAGACTGCAGACGCTGCCAGGGGTCTGGGGACACCTCATGGGCTGGAGCCCACTGGAGCTTCTCCAGCTGCAGCGCAGGGAGGGAGGGAGGAGCTGCTGGAGTCTGAGCGTGGCTGCCTGAGACAGCGCCACAGGCTGCTGCTGAGCTTGTAGCTTTCAAGGGGCTGCATTCCCAGCCCAGCACCTCTTAGCCTCTTTTATTTTGAGGTTGGGGGTGGGAGGGTTGTCTCATCTGGGAAGATCTGGGCTTAATTTCATCTCCTCTTTAATTTTAAGTAGTTACTTCCATGAGAACTGACTTCAAAGGTGTTCATCGAGGAAAACACAGTGTCCCCACGCTGGGAATGCGAAAAGATGACAGTTGCTGAGAGGGATGGTTAACAGCTTGGAGGTGCTCCCCATTCAAAATGCCTTTTAAAGCATTTGATACCTTCAAAGAAAAAATCCTGAAACCTGGAAAGGAAGGACTGAAGAATGTCGTGGGAGATTCACTGGGGATTTTACAAAGGTAAAGTTTGCATGGAAACTTTAGGTTTATTTTGGAGTAGCTTCATGTTGGCAATATCAGATTTTGCTTCCTGTTTTTAAAAACTTCTTTTTAATAAGGAGGGTGTGGGTCAGATTAGATGGTGTCTAGAACCCTTCCAGCAACAACAGACTATGTCTGGAGGGAAAAATATATACATCAAAACGCAGGGTCAAATTAGAAGAATGTCAAGACAAGCATTCTGCTCATACAGCAGGATTAGCACTTCCGGCAATGGTGATATTGCATATTGTTTGGCATTGAATTAAAAAGATTTAGAGAGATAATATTTCTTGTCAACACAATGGTTGAGACAAGTATGGTCATGCTTTGAGCTAAAACACTTTTAAAGAATTTTTTGCATCATTTGTTACTATAAAGGAAAATGAGATCTTTGCAAACTGTTTAACTTGTTATGTAAACTATTTAAAGTGGTTCCTGACTGTGTAGTTTTCAAAAAGGATAGTTGAACAATATTTTGAAAAAGGTAACTTAGAAAAAAATTAGTCTTCTTTAAAAAAGAAAATCTCACATGGTTACAATGGGAAATGTTAAGTGCTATCATTGAATTAAATGTTTTTGTCCAAACCAAAAAAAAAAATCTCTTTTTGTATATCTATATCTATATATATATGTATATGTGTGTGTATATATATATATATATATAAAAAATACCTGTGGGCACTTAAGTGGTGGGAAATCAATGGTGACCGCACCTGAGGGGAGAAATCCTATATTGTGAGAAAATAAACAAGGATGTTTTAAAAAATAAAATACAAGAAATAAGTATATATAGTATATTAATGTAATTTCATATTACAATATACTATTTTAGGAAGGAGAGTTTGCCATGAATTAATTGATATGACATTGTAATTTGTGAATTTTTATAAATAGAGGAAATGCCTTCTGGGGTTTTATAGATGCATTAAAAAGTAGTTTTACATACAAGGTAAAATGACTCCTTAATCTGTGATATAAATAAATGTGAAAAATACTCTTGATAAGCTTTTTAAGGATTATTTCTAATCCTAGTGAGTGAAAATGCCACCTAATATCTCCCTCTCTTTTTTTTTTTAACTTTTCTGTCTGTTATCTCTTAGATTTAAAAACTGTAGCAGCTAAAGGGCTATTTCTAGGCACACTGAGATTCATCCCACTTCTGTGTTTCATAAAACAGAAGCTGCTGCCAGGGTTAAGTTTTCTATGTATCATTTTAGATGAATTTTTGTGATAAGAAAACTGGGTGGGGCATCTTATCAATTTAATATTTTTTTTAAAAAGGCTTCAATGAGACCTATACTGAATTATAATGTGTAGATGAAAAACTAGCTCAGTGACAGCAGAATACATCAGCCAGACAGAAGTGATTAGAACAGCATTTTCTTTGACGTGTTTCACCCTCCTGTTGAGCACCCTCTCCAGGGATTGTTTTTTGTTGGGTGGTCATTTTTGATTAAAAATGAAGAAGGAAGGCACGATGTCTTCATTGGCATGTTCAAGTGATGACAAAGGAATCCGACACAGTCAGGAATAAAAGCCTTGACTTTGGACCAACATCTCCGTTATCATCATCAAACTCAGCCTTAATTGGAAAATACTTGACAAAAATGTACTCAGGAATTTTCTTTTCCAACTTGAAGATCCTTTAGCTTACCAGATGGGGTTGCTTAGGGAAATAATACAGTGAGTGATCTCGAAGTCATGTGACCTCAACCCAAAATTGAGCTATGTGTCTGGGATGTGGGAAGCTTCCTCAGAGTTACAACACAAGACAACAGAAAACCAGTTAACACAGTGCTTGAAGGTAGAGGATGCACCAATGAAATGTAGGCTAAGTGTTGTCATTTTCATAATGGTAGAATGGCTTTAGGAAAAATAAAGCCAAACTCAAACCTCTTCATTCTATGATCCCTAGAGAGAAATTACTGGTAGAAGAAGGGCGAAAGGTTTGAACTGACCAGGTTGACCCTTAGTAACACTGTTCTTTGAGCAGAGTTCTGGATTCAGACTCCTGCAGCAACATCATCTATGCTACTGACTTGGTATTAACCTCAAGTCTCTAAGATAATTAGATAATTCTATGGGAAGTGCCTTGCCCACATAGAATGGGCATTCCTTCTCTTGCTAATGATCGTGTAAAACCAGTCAACAGAATCTCATGTACGAAACAAATGACAAAAATAAAGAAATATTTTGTTTTGTAACAGGCAGGAACGTTTTGAAGTTAGAAACCCTGACTTTCGAACTTGCCCCGCAGTGCAAATCAATAAATGTGTAATAATATTTGAGATTTTGATCATTATGTAAATGGGATTCTTAAGATGCTTTTTAAACACAGCATTCCCCACGGTCAGGGGGGTGGCAGATGGACAGGGTAGCATTTGAAATTTGCATATGGGGTTGATTAGTTAGACATTACTGGCTCTCCTGAAGAACAGCCATTGATAAGATGCAGTTAAACAAGTAATCAAAGATACAAAAATATTTTAGAAGTGTAAGAAGAAAGACATGCTCATTTACAGTCTGGTATTGGAACAGATGACATAGAAGGTGTTATATTTGGAAAATGATGTCCAGAAATTGCTGTGAAAATTAGTTCAACTTCAATGACAATACGGTTGTCCTCCCATGGCCTACATGGATAAAATAATGGCAAACACTTAGTGTCTTCTAGGCACCATAAACTCATTTAATTATTGGTTATCGGAAAAGTCATGACACATTTTTGCATAGAAAACAGAAAAAATATGCCATGACTTTTCTGACAATCCAATATATTAACAACCCTATGAGGTGGGGATCATTATCACAATTTTGATATTGTCGTATCAAATTTGGAGGAGCTGGAGCACAGTGAGGTTAAGTTGCCCAAGGTCAAGTAGTTGATGAATGAGAAAGCTGGATTTCAGACCGGACATTCTGTGCCCATCATCCCTAATCATGACTCTGTGCTACCTCTCTTACTATGCTCTTTGTTCTTCCCACCCGCTGTCTTGAAATTTAATTGCTCATTGGGGTCCAGGAAATTACTTGACCTTCAGTGTAGTCAGCAACCTTGAGCTTAAGGCCAGTGTGGGCTTTTCCCCTAATCAGTTGTGATACACTTTTGCATCGTTTAATGATAGTTCAGTCAATGACACATAGCCTATATGATGGTGGCCCCATAGGTGTGTATAGCAAGGTGTGCACAGGTAAGTTCTGTGATATTCACACAACAATGAGACAGCCACACACAACACCCAAGTTGTCAGTAATTTTGACCATTTTCATTGATTTTTGAAGTAATAACCATAATAATAACATAATAAACAACCTTTATAAATGCAGTCTGCATCACACCTTGGGTTTCCCTTTTGGTTCCTTGATGGGTACACGTTTTCTTCTTTCCCTGCTATGTTTTCATTTTTCTCGAATCCCAGCCTTTCTTCTCTGTCCATTCCTTTTCCACTGTAGAAAAATTGATGGAACCAATGAGGAAGAAGATAACATTGAGCTGAGTGAAGAAGGCAGGCCAGTGCAGAGGTCGGGGCAGAAAGCCCCGCTCTGTGACTGCCCCTGCTGTGGGGTCCCCAAGCGCTACATCATCGCCATCATGAGCGGACTGGGGTTCTGCATTTCCTTTGGGATTCGGTGCAACCTTGGAGTCGCCATTGTGGAAATGGTCAACAACAGCACTGTATATGTTGACGGGAAACCGGAAATTCAGGTCAGTGTCCATCTTCGGTGGGAACATTTTTGATCATAGCTGTGCAAATGCTTTGCTACGTGAAAGAAAGCACCACACCTCATCTACCCACATGACCATGATGCAGAGTGTCCATCAGGTATGGGTGCTGTGTGGAGAGATGGGGATGAGAAGGTGAACAACACAGCACAGGGACCTGTCTTCACAGAGATGTACAAGTTAGTGATTGCAATTTGGGGTTGTTTGTGCTATTGGGGGGTGCACAGGATGTTTGGGGTTGTATAAGAGAGATCTAGCTCAGCTTGTAGCTTTCATGATACCATGAAAGAATTCCCAAGGAAAGTAATGGCTGGAGCTAAAGGCTGAGGAGGAACATGACAAAGAGGACTTGGGGACAGAAGAATGTTTGAAAGAAAAGGCACATCATGTGTGAAACTGTAGGAAAAAGAGCAAAAGACTGTATGGTGTTAGGGAACTGAGACAAGATTTGATCTTTTCTGTGCCATGAACGCCTTTGACAACCTGGGGCGGACTTACCAATCCTATGTCCAAATAATGTTTTAAATTCTTTATTTTAAAATTTTTTTCAAAGATTATTTATGCATACAAGAGCTGGGGTACAGGCCAGAGGTGTGGGGGGTGAGAGGATTCACCAGAGACAGAGTTGGGAGCAGAACAGGCAGATAGACCAAAGTACACTACTGAGGGGAGCAGCGGGCAAGTCAGGAAATGGCTGCTGCACCATGAGGGTAGCTCCCTGGCCGGCTGGGGGATTGAACTCATGCTGCAGAGGCTGTGGATAGCTTCATAGGTTGCATCTTAACCCCTTGCACCACCAGGGAAGCCCTGTTTTAAATTCTTAGAAGAATACACATGAAATTATTCAGGAAACCAACAATATTAATATACAAAAATCAAAATATTTAACAATAAAACTTATGATAGAAAAACATAGGGCCATTGTTCTGAAGATATCAGATAACAAAATCTAACTATGATTTTTACAATGCCTGTAATGTTGAAGTTTGAAGTATAAATGAGAGTTTGAGAGAGTGGCCACAGCTGTCAAGGGCTATGAAGCATATTTATGATTTCTACCAGTGACAGAGTGACAGGGTTGACAATGGTGTGCTGCCTACATTCCTAACTGCAGAAAATGCTAAATTTCAGTTAACACTTAATGAAAAACAAAGTTGCATTTTCCTTCCAGTCACAGGATTCCAGATTGAGGACTCCCAATAAGAGTGGGGGTGAACAGCAAGAGATGGGGGAAGCAGGGTATGGAGGAATTGGGTTCATGTAAGGGATGTTGAACTATGCAGGGGGTCACGGAATGGTTTTCAGCAGAGAGGCCATGCAATCGAAGCTGTGCTCCAGAACAATCCCTGTCCAGTCAAGATCTCCTGATGGGTGTAAAGTGAGGTTGGAATGGAAGCAGGAGATCCAGTTTCCTGGCGGTTGTAGTCATAAGCAAGCATATTCTGATGTGACTTAAATAGTACTGTTTTATGAATCAATCACTGGAAAGATAAGATCAGATTTGTTGACCAAGAGAATTGAGGTTACAGGGCAAAAACAAAATGGAAGCCCCATGGAGACTTAATAAGTATGCATTTCATTGAATTGAACACAACCAGGGAGGACTTGTGGAAAACCATCCTTTTGCAGGGGCATCTAGTAGTTCTCTGGTGGTCCTTGACTGTTTTTGGAGAAAGTTTTAGGTCAGAGCTCCCCAACTGGTGTCTGGCAAATCGTTGTTCTCTGGACCATGCTAGAGGCAGGTGTCCTGGGAAACAGAAGCCTGTCCTGTTGTAACAGGGTGGTCCCCAGGAAAGGGGGAGGTTCCCTGCCCCACCCAAGGGAGGGACAGGGAACCTCCCCCTTTCCTGGGGACCACCCTGTTAACACTGTGAGAACCTCCAAGAGGAGGTGAGGTGGACTTGAGGGTAGACGCTTGCTTTCCTGCCATCTCTATTAGTGTTGCCTTGAGCCATTTTGTAAAAAACATATTTATTACATCATCTTTCATTTTTGTACAATGTATGATTTCCCCATGAAATTCCCACCACCAAGTCACCCGTGCACCGTCACTATAATCCCCTGTGCTCTCCCCACCCTGTCCTAATCCCTCTCCCTCCTCCTCCCCTGTAGAATGTGTCAGGTCTATGGTTGCCTGTTGCTTTTGATTTTTACTTTATTATAGTTATTTTTTTCCTGATCCCTTATTTGCTTCTTCTACACTTACAAGTGAAACCATCCGATATTTTTCTTTTTCTTTCTGGCTTATTTTGCTGAGCATGATCCCTTCCAGCTCCACCCATGTTGCTGTGAATGGCATGTACCTTGTACAATTTTTGCCAAGCACTAGCTTGGGAAAATATGATTTCAGTCTATTAAAAAAAAGTCTTCAGCTGGCCCGTTAGCTTTTTTCACATTTCTTTTTTAGCTAAGAGATGATTTTGCCAGAGGAAACAAGCACCATGGAGAGTCTTCTAACAATTCTCATTTTGATGCCACAGCTGAATCTGTTCTAAAATGATATCCCAGTTGTTTACTTTCATGGGGGAGATAGAGCACAGTACAGGTTTTGGGGGGAGGGTCATACCATGCATTTTTAAAATACAGAATGATGTGTATTAGCCAGGCTTCAGATATGTATCACATGTATTCTCCCAGCCTTTTGTGAGCGAGCCCAGCTAATTAAAACTTGTCTGCTGCGGCCCAGCTCAAAATGAGATGCTTGTTTGCATTTGTTTGTTGCCTGAAAAGATAGGAATAGGTCATTAGAGTCGGCTTTGAGGCATATGGGAAAGATATGATAAACCTAAGGAACAATGCTGGTGTGTGCTCTTGATTTTCTATGGTTTTGCCCTCTGGAGAGTTCGAGAAACCTATAAAAATCTAAAATATACTTAATCTCATTTTTTTCTGGCCTTAAAAGTCAAAATTGACCATAGATCTTGGTATCCAGGAAGGGAGGAGAGAAAACAGGGGAAGAGGAATATGGACTATGGTGGAGACTGTGGGTGCTTTGGTGTGGTGGGAAAGGTAACCACAGATGAAAGGAGAAATCCTGTATTATGAATAAACAAACAAGGAGGTAAAATTGAAAAAAGAAAAGAAAAAGAGACAGGCCGTTTAGGAGGTTATTGCAATTTTCTAGTTTGGGTAATTATAGGAATAGAAAAAAAAAGGGACACTAACAGGAACCTATTCTTGCCCTTAATGGAGAATAAGGAAGAGAGAGAAGTTATACAGAAATGCAGTAATTATAGTAAGGGGAACAGATTTCAGGGGATATCACTAATTTGTTTCTGGAGATTTTAGGTTATCCTTGCAGATATTGAGATAGAAGTGTCTGCAGGGCAATTGAAAACGAGAGTCCAGAGTTGCACCATCCATATCTATCCAGAGATGACTTCTGAGCCCCAGAAATGTGACAGTGAGAACAGAGGTCTGTGGGACACGTGCAGAAAAAAGGGACCACTTCAGGTTGGGGGCAGTTAGGGAGCTTCCTCTGAGGAAGGGGCATTTGCAAGGACGCTGTAAAGAAGAAGGTACTTGGCCTGGGCAGGAATTCAAGGAACATGATGCCAGTCCTAGAGAATCCCAATCCGAGTGGTTAAGAGTTGAGGACGGGGTCCTGTTGCCTTTGTCATCACCCTAAATATTGCCACTGGTATTTGTGTTGCAGGCACTATCCTAATGTGTTCAATGCAAAATCTCTGAGCAGAGGAATAGCCTACTAGAAATACTCATGCTGTTTATCCCTTGCCAGTGTATGGGTAGGTAGCGGAGGACCTATTCTCCTCATCAAGAAGTGAGAGACTTAAAAAACTCTGATTCCCTTGGTTCTTCCTTTGTTCCCTTTATTTCTCATTAAACTAGTGTCAAAGCAATCTAGCAGCTAACCTCGTAACCTAGAACTGTTCTTCACAAGATGTTTTATTTTCTTTTTAGCACTAATCCCTAGCTGGCGGGTCATATATACATAATCCCTGGCAGGTCATATATACATATTCACCCACCTATGTTTTATTATATGTATTTGATTACATACATACTTACATATGTACTTGGTATATATATTTATTTAGATTTAAGGCTTTCCATAATATTTGCTGAATAGAGGAAGGAAAGAAGCCCCTTGGTGGGTTACATGGTAGGGCGATGAACGAAAAAAATGTTGGTTGAGTATTTTCTTACAAACACAACTGTACGTGATTTCTCATTTCCAGGCAGCACAGTTTAACTGGGATCCAGAGACCGTGGGCCTTATTCATGGATCTTTTTTCTGGGGCTATATTGTGACGCAAATTCCAGGGGGTTTCATTTCAAACAAGTTTGCTGCTAACAGGTAAGAAGAACCTGTATAACCTGGGTGCTGCCCAGCTCACAGTGGTGCTACTTTTACAAAATCTACATAGTTTGCTTTTCATTTGGGGCTGCAGAATGAACGAAAGGAGCCATCCTGAGAGATAGGAGTCTTAGCTACTAATTCCAAATAATCCTTATCTCAAGAATCTTTTTATTTACTTTTGCATCCAGTCTAATTTATTTTGCAATTCTTTAAGTGACTATGTAAAAAGAGCAATTCACTCTGAGTCACGGAAGAGGCTCCTGGACCCTCAGTAACTCCCCAGATCACCTCTACTGTGTCACATGTGAGTGAGTCTTGCGATGAAAGGGTGTCTGTCCAGGGCTGCTCCTGCCTTGTGCCCAGAGCTGCATGGACAATCTGACCACCGATGACCCTGAACTGGAAAAAGCGAGTTGGAAAATAAGTGAATACTAGTTATTGTTTAATATTAGAAGTGTTGAGTCTTTACTTACAAGTTTGATGATGCTTTTGTTACAAAAATATGCTATAGAACTTAATGCTTGTTTGTATCAATTAGCCCATGGTTAAATTGGTTTTATTATACGTCATTTTGCTTAAAATCAGAATTTCTAAGAACCTATCAACTGTTAAGTGAGAGCTTACAGTATTGTCAATGAGTCCTAAGAACTTGCCTCTAGATTGCAAGATGTGTTATGATGCCCTTAAGGGTCTATAATAGGTGTTAGAGGAATTAGAAGGGCCCAATTTTAATTGAGCTTCTTCAGGAAGCAGTGAGTTCTCTGTCACTGATGTTAATCAAGAAGAGGGTGGCCACTTGGAGGAGATGTAGGGTGTGCATGTACCAGAAAAGGAGTGAACTAATTATCTCCAAGTTCCTTTCAATTGTATTTCCTGTGTGGTTTTACGTATGCAGATTCTGTGAAGTACACATTTTATAAATCAGAGATTTTCCCACTCTAAGTCACAACTGATCAGCTGGTCAAGGAATCGATATAGTGGTTTACCAGCGAGAGCTTTTTTAGGGGGAATGGCGAGAAAGGGAAGGGCAGGGAAGGAAGAAGATACAAAACAGAATAAAAAATACCTTAGTTCATTATACAATTAAGGGTAAAAATTAGTTTTGAAATTGTTTTTGGCTGCATTTGTATTTATGAGTATGTATTAGGATGTGATATTAAATATATCTTGTTGTGCTAATGCCATTTGCAGCAACGTGGATGGAACTTGAAGGGATTATGCTCAGTGAAATAAGTCAGAAGGAAAAAGAAAAATACCGGATGGTTTCACTTCCAGGAGGAATATAGGGGAGCAAGGGGAAACAATGATAATAACAACAAAAAAAACACAACAAAACACAATTTTTAAACAGACAACTATAAATCAGAGACATTCTGCAGGGGAGGGGGATGGAAAGGGATCAAAATGAGGGCAGGAAGAGCACAGGGGCCTTTGGAGATGGTGCAGGGATGAATTGCTGGTGGAAATTCTATGGGGACTACACCTGAGAAAAGAAACCAAGCAATGTAAGAATAAAAAATAAATTAAATATACGTATTTGGTTCGTAACTCAAGGTAGAAAAGTTTGTAAGCCACATCATAAGATTTAAGTATGTTTAAATGTGACCGTATTTACTAATTGTCTAATTTGCATCCTGATTTACTGCTGCTTACCTACAGAGTTCATTTTTTAAAAAATGATAAGATTGCCTCCAAGGGCCTCTGAGGTTACTGCTCACACCCCTACCCTAAAGAGAAATCACACTAATAAGATCTCCCAGCATGTAAAAAGCATTGGAGCATCATTAATATACATGAGGAGGATGAAAATGGTGCCTCCTGGGAGGGAGGGGCATGGAGACAGGTGCATGGTGTCCCGTGCTAGGGGCCCCAGGGCCCAGCATGCTTCTCAGATAGTCATTGTCTCCCTTTCTGGTAAAGGGACAGAGTTGGGGGCAGAGTAGGGAAGCGGGAGACTCAGCCCCAGTGTGCAGACATCACGAGGTAAAGGTCCGAATGGGCACAGTGCTTAGAACCAAGCAGAGGGGGTGCGTCTCCATACAGCTCACCTCACACTGCTCCATTTCCTGCCTCAGCTCCTCATCTCGGCACGACATCTCTGTGCACCTGAAGCCTGCCCAGAATTGGTGCAGGGCCAGGAGTTCAGCAATCAAAGCAGCTCGAGCCCATTCTGGGACACCCTGGCATGGCCTCTATTTCTCTGCATCCTCTTCTCTTAATTATCCACAGTGATAGTCCATGAACTTTCAAGTTTAGTTCTGATGTTTAACAGAAGGCCATGACTGCTCCCAATGACACGATATTTTTGCCTCTCAGGGTCTTTGGAGCTGCCATCTTCTTGACGTCCACCTTGAACATGTTCATCCCCTCGGCGGCCAGAGTGCATTATGGCTGCGTCATGTGCGTCAGGATCTTGCAGGGGCTTGTGGAGGTAGGACATTTGCTGGCGACAAAAAAAAAAAAAAAAAAAAAAAAAAAAAAATGTGGCTCTTGAGAAAATTCAACTTCAGAAGAAAAACTCCCTTTACTTGGTTTTCCACTTTGTCCTGCTATCTCAACTGTCTGGTGTATGGCTACAATTAGGAATACTTTCATTTAAATTCCTGGGTAATTCTAGATTCATAGGCAATGATCTGTTTCATAGATCATGGAGTTTCAGAAGAGCCAGGAATGCTTTTAGAGATAATCTAATCCAACTCTCTTCATGGAATGGTGATGACATGGAAGCCCACACCCTACACTTCACATGGCAAGGGCTCTTTCCACTAAAACAATTCAAAGAGGCTTATTAATAAATCCGTACCTTGCCACAGCTCTGTGTTTGTATAGACTTACAGAGATTTCACTCCAGAGGCGGGCAGCCTGGTCTCAAGCCAGAGGTGAATGCTTTGGATTTTGCTGGCGTAGGATCTCTTGCAGACTCAGCTCTGCTGTCTCGGGCAAAGGCACCTAGAGACGATATAAGAGCTAATGGGCATGGCTTCATGCCAAGAAGGCTTTAATGGACTTTGGCATTTGAATTTCATGTGATTTTTACATGCCATGGAATATTATTCTTTACATTTTTTTTTCTCAGCACTTAAAAATGTAAAAGCCATTCTGGGCTCAAATGTTGTAAAAAACAAAACAAAATGAATGGTTTGCCAACCCTGCTGCGCAGCAATAGTCCCTAAACTCAGCAATTCACCTCTCAGCTATGTCTCTTCTGTCACATCCATGTATTTGTGCTATTACTTAGTGATAGTTTTTCCTTAGATCAATGCACTTGAAAAAATAGACAAAATCAAAGGCACTTCATCCTAAGCAACAAAGCTTTGAAATCATGAGTTTGATATGCTCATTATAATTTTTTTCAAAGGCATCTTAGACTACATGTGTAATAACTATTTGAAAGTGAAATTGTTGTAGCATCTCAGCAACTCCCGTGGTCCGACTGGAAAGATGTATACTACACTCTGGAAAATGTTGATGTGGAGGAAAGAACATGATAGTAGCAGTCATGGACATAACAATCTGGTCAGTTGGTGACTCTGAACCTCAGGTTCTATGTCTGGAAATGAGAGGGTGGACCAGCTTATTATGGGCCAGCTTTTATACAATGATATCCTATAGCAATATTAAATATAAAGGTCCCCTCTCCCCATCCCCCATTGTATTTTTTTTAAAGATTTATTTATTTAAACATACAAGAGCTGTGGTACAGGCCAGCGATGTGGGGGTCAGGAGTGAGAGGATTCACCAGAGACAGCGTGGGGGGCAGAACAGGTAGATTGACTGAAATACGCCACTGAGGGGAACAGCAGGCGAGACAGGAGAGGTCTGTTGTGCCATGTGGGTCAGCTCCCTGGCTGGGGGTCAAACTCATGCTGCAATGGCTGCGAATTGCTTCGTAATGCTGAGACTTAACCCCTTGTGCCACCAGGGAGGCCCTCCTCATTGTTATTTCACATGAACTCTATTCAAGTTTCACCATCTGTGCTGGGAGTGAAAATACTTGCACCTGCTATTTAGTGAGCTTTCATATTAGAGCCTGTGTTGAAGAAACAGGACCCATGCTGTAAACACAAACAGAAATTAGAGCCAAATCAAATAATCAATTTTTAACTTTTTTGCTAGGGTGTGACCTACCCAGCCTGCCATGGCATGTGGAGCAAGTGGGCACCACCTTTGGAGAGAAGTCGTCTGGCCACAACCTCTTTTTGTGGTATGTGTATTAGAGTCACAGCAAGTTTTTTTAGTAATGCTTTTGGCCTCAAGTAATGGAAAAGTCTACTGAGTCTATTTTTTGAACAGTCTTATTATTTTTGAACAGAGTCTATTTTTTTTCATATAACAGATGTTCAAAGGTGAGTCATTGCTGGTCTTGGTTCTACAGTTTAATGATCCCTGCAGAGTCTATACATACTCCAAATTGCTACTCTATTATTCTCTGAGTGATCGCTTTTTACTCTCTTGCTTGTTCCTCATGGTCACAAGAAGGCTGCCACAGCTCCAGGCATTGCGTTCCTATTCAAGGCAGGAAAAAGTGGGGATGAGTATCTTACTCACATCTGTTCCTTTCCTCAGGAAAGGAAAAGCTTTCCCTAAACCCCTAACAGGCTTCTACTCCTAATTGAGTCACATGCTTACTAACTGCAGAGGAGGCTGGGAAAGCTATGCTTAGCTTTTCCAGTATCTTTCAGAAATGTGAGAAGGGAATGAAGGTGGCTGTCGGAATAGCCAACAATTGAAATTTAACAAGGTCAAATATGGAAGAGATAGATTCCTCACGCTTACCCCCACCCCTTCTTTTTGCGATGGAGACACTGAACTAAAGTTTAAAGTTCAGTTTTATTGAACAAAACTAAAGTCCAATGATTTGTCCAAGGTCACACAGCTGTTCAGTCATAGGGCTGGACCCAGACCACCTAATTCTTAATTCAGAATTTTCTTTACTACACACTGCTATGTACACATTACCATACAGGTTTTTAAATTAATTTTTACAAACATATTTCAGATAAAATGGATACCCTCCCTCTTACCTGAAATTAAGGTTGCCTCATTCCAAGCCTTGCCTTAGGAACCTGCATGTAATCAGTGTTCTGAAAGGTCTACCTGGGCCTCAATCAACAACTGAACCAGGGCAGCATATGGTGCCTCCATCAACACAGCCATAAAATACATTCTCAAATATTTTGAGGGCAGAAGGAGTGCAGGAAGGCAACAATGGGGTATAAGCAACATTAGGATCAGAATTTTGGTCTGTCTGAGTTTTCAAGACAACGTGCTTTTCCTAAGAGCAGCTCACCTGACCTCTTAGCTAAAGGAGAAATAAAGCTTCCTCTTTATTTCTGTGAATATTTTTATTTCTCCCCTTTTTACCACTTTTAAGTAATAAAACTGAATTCCTGGGAATTTGGAAATAAACACCAACGTGACTATTCTGAGCCTAGCTTGAAATTGCATGTACAAGTTTTTATCTCTAGCCTCTCTTGTCCTAGCAGTCATTTCTGTCCTCTGGTTTGCAGTTCAAGGTCATCTTCAGTCCCACCACTGATCTTAAACCAACTCTAGACGGTTCTGCCCCCAGTCGACCTTTAGAGCTGTCAGATCCTTGACCTTATTTTTTTTTTTTAAAGATTTTTTTATTTATGCATGCAAGAGCTGGGGTACAGACCAGAGATGCTAGGGTGAGAGAATTCACCAGAGACAGAGTGGGGAGCAGAATAATTGGATCTGCTGAAATACACTGATGAGGGGAGCAGCGGGTGAGTCAGGAGAGGTCTGCTGCGCCATGTGGGTTGCTCCCTGGCCAGCCGGGGATCGAACTTGTGCTGCAGAGGCTGCGGATTGCTTCATGATGCGGTGCTTAACCCCTTGCGCCACCAGAGAGGCCCTTGACTTATTTTCTTTTTTTTTTTTAATTTTTTTTTTTTTTTAATAGAGGCATGTTTTTCTTTATTTATTTGTTTGCTTGTTTGTTTGTTTTGTTTATACATGCACTGGGTACAGTCAGAAGCGCGGGAGGGTGAGAGAATTCACCAGAGCCAGAGCGGGGAGCAGAGCAGGCAGAAGGACCGAAGTACACTGCTGAGGGAAGCAGCGGGCGGCAGGAGAGGTCTGCGCGCCATGTGGGACCCTCCACTGGTGGCCGGGGAGCAGCCGGGGATTGAACCGGCGCTGCAGAGGCCGCGGGCAGCTTCGCAACCCAGTGCTCTACCGCTGCGCCACCGGGGAGGCCCCCTTGACTTATTTTCTTTGGTTAGTTTATTTATAAGGCCTTTCTTTCATTTTGATTTGCCAGCAAAAAAAGAGTAACTAGCAACCACTCCCCATTCCTAGTTTCTTTATAGCCTTGAAAGGGCTGATTTAAGAAATGGGGTGATTCTCAAGGGGAGGTTCCTCATCAAGGTTAAGGGCTTTATTATGTTTCTCAGCGAAGGTGTGGCCTTGATTTTCAAAGGGCAGCCAAGTGAAAAAGTCATTAGAAGGAATCCCAGGTTGAAGCTAATCAATTCTTACATGCAAAAAATGTTGAAGGTGGAAGGGACTGTAAGAACAACTAGTCACACCCATTGTTTTAACAGTGGAGGAAATAGAGGGTCAGGGTCAGAAGGAAAAAAGGATCTTAATTCTCATGGCTATTGAGATCAGAACTGGGGACCTTTCCACCGCCATTCAGCTATCTTACCTCCCTGCCTCCCCAGGCTGTTCCCTGGAGCCCTCCTTGTCCTGCGTGTACAGTACATGGAGGGACACGGGTGCATCTTCTCCACAGGGCCTGCAGGCCAAGCGCCCTCTTGGGGCTTGCTCAGGGGCTGTGGGTGTGATAGGAGACTACACTGGACAGCTGGAGGAGACTAACAGGCAAAGAAAGACAGTCTAAGTCTACTTGTAAAGTTTCCTCCATGAAAGAATGCTTCTTACTCTAAGGAATTACTAGATGCTCATGAGTGAGGAAGCAAGACTCGATTATTAAATAGTTGAGAAAGGCTTTGGATTTGTGTAGACCTGAGTGCCTGTCACTCACACCTGTGTAACCCCAGGCAGCTTGCTTCTCTGTACTCCCACCCGGCCCCCCAGCCTTGGGGCTGATGTAAAATGGGGATAATAACTGATACCTATGTCAACATGTTGGGGAGGGTTAAAGTCACAGGTTCAGAATCCTCAGGACAGGACTGGCACATCAGAAGCACTCAGTGTATCTTAGTTGTTAATGGTTATTCCCTGACCCTCCCTGGGTATTTCCCTCTCACATTGCCCCAACCCCCCAGGACAGAGACCACTTTCTACCCACCCGCAGCTGAGACAGGCCTGCAGCTCGTCCTCAGTGACACTTGCTGGTGTGCTGCCTTACTGGATTGGGGAAATCTGAGATTAAAAAAAAAAATCATGACAAGTCATTCTGTCCATGAGGTTGCAGTAATGCTGGCATCTGGGCAGCACTAGCAATAACTTACAAAACATCTTCACGTACATAGTTTGCTCAATCCTCAAAACCACCCTGGGAGATGGAGATTTCTTTCCCAGCTTCTGTCTAGGAAACTGAGGTCCAGAGATAATGAGACTCCCTCAGGCAGCAGAAGTTCAGATTTGGGATCCTCTGGGGGCTTTCACAGCTGTGTGAAGCGGACTCTCGGAAAGAAGGGATTTAATCCCTTTCTCTGGGACCTAATCATTTTCTCCCCAAGCTCCCTGTTCTGTTCTCCCCAAGCTCCCTCCTTAGCATCACATTCTGGGACACAGAATTTCCCTTTGCTGCTCACCTTTTCTGGAGAAAAAAGCATTCGTGGCTCAGGGGGGATTTCATAGAGTAATTTTTGATTCAGTTGATATTAACCAGGAGTTCTTAGGGCTTGCATTATTCCAGCAGATGTCAAGGAGCAGGAGCAGTAGGAGGTAGTTGAGTCCAGGTCACTGCCTCTAGCCCTCACTCATGTCTAGACAAGATAAACATCCACACTTGGGTAAGTATTTACAAGCTTAAGTATTTACAAAGTAAGAAAGTAGCTTAAAAATACACCCATGTAGGAGGTAGATGGAGACAAGAGCCATCTGGCTATCCCTTCCTTCAGGACTTGAGCTGTTTCCTGATTTTTTTTTTAAAAAAGTCAAAACTATAAGGAGTTTGATCTTTTTAGTAGTTTGCTGTCCCTCATTGAAAGGCCTAAGTGATAAGCCTTCTACACTGTGAGCTGGGAAAGGCACATTCCATTTGTTCCTTTGCTTACTGTCCCCAGCACCCAATTTTGCCCCTGGTTGAACTTTGCAAATTTCTCTTTTGATTTTTCTTGTCTTCTGATTCCACCCTCTCCTGTAATGCTAAATCAAGGCACCTGATCAATCTTTGCCTTATACCTGGGTGAAGATAAAGGGCATCCTTGTGATCTTACTCTACTAAAAGTACAACTCTGGGAGTTGGCGTGTCTGCACGGAGGCAGCGTGAGTCCTGCTCAGCCATATATGCCTTCAGCTTGACCACATAAACCCTAAGAGGGTTGAAGGGCTTGTATGACGATCCATAAGTTTCCCTCAATCTTTTCTTGTTCTAGGTTCCTACGCAGGGGCGGTGATTGCCATGCCCCTGGCTGGGGTGTTGGTTCAGTACATTGGTTGGGCCTCTGTCTTTTATATTTATGGTGAGTGATATGACTTTGTGAATTCCCAAGGATGACTCAGAGAGAGGGTATTTTATTGTATAATGGGGCCAGCTAAGAATGTACTATGGCAAGCAGAGATTACTAGCTCAAGTTGATCATACCTTTGATCACTGAACATTTCTGTTAAAATTCAGTTTCCTCATTTGCAGACTGTTGTCTTTCTTTAAGTGCAAGTTAATAAAATCAACAGGAAAAATCAGTAAAATACTTTCTCTTGACTGAACATAGATAGTGACGGGAGAATATGTTGAAAATGGAAACACTCAGAGAAGAAAATAAGACCATATCATCAAATTTTGTCTTTTAACAATGACATGTATTTATTTGCTTAATCTTCACCAAAAGACGGGTTTTTGTTTGTTTGTTTTTTAACTACAGGTATGTTTGGAATTATTTGGTACATGTTTTGGCTGTTGCAGGCCTATGAGTGCCCAGCAGCTCATCCAACAATATCTAATGAGGAGAGAACCTACATAGAGACAAGTATAGGAGAAGGGACTAACTTGGTCAGTCTAAGCGTAAGTATAGAGAAATAGATGAAGACTTGCCTCTTTTTATTTTTTATTTATTTATCTTTTTGTGGGACCCTCGCTGGTGGCCAGGGATCGAACTGGCGCTGCAGAGGCTGCGGGCAGCCTCACAACCCAGCGCTCAACCGCTGAGCCACCGAGGCCCGAAGACTTGCCTCTTTTTAAAAAATATTTCTCTCAGTGATTGTGCTATACTCTTTTTTTTTTTTTAAGATATATTCATTTATTCATACAAGAACTGGGGTACAGGCCAGAGGTGTGGGGGGCGAGAGGACCCACCAGAGACAGAGTGGGGAGCAGAACAGGCAGAATGAGTGAAATACACTGCTGAGGGGAGCAGCGGGTGAACCAGGAGAGGTCTTCTGCACCATGTGGGCAGCTGCCTGGCCGGGGATCGAACTCGCACCGCAGTGGCTGTAGAAAGCTTCACAGGCTGCGTCTCAACCCCCTGCGCCACCAGGGAGGCCCGATTGTGCTATGCTCTTAAGAAAAACAAATTGCCAATATATTCACTAAAAAATCTCATGGCATTTTTACTCTCTAGAAATTTAACACACCATGGAAAAGATTTTTCACATCATTGCCGGTTTATGCAATCATTGTGGCAAATTTTTGCAGAAGCTGGACGTTTTATTTGCTGTTAATAAGTCAGCCTGCTTATTTCGAAGAGGTCTTTGGATTTGCAATAAGTAAGGTAAACACAGATGCTTCTGTTGTTCTTGAGCTTTTAAGCTCTTGTTTTCATGGAGAAAATCTTGGCATGATAAAATGATTAAGTTGTTGATCATATTTCATAACAGTTCTTTACCCAGTGCCCTGACCCTCAGACATGTTATACATTCTGTGCAGAGTATATATGGCTCTTATTTCTTCTTAGTAAGAATCAGAGTTGTATGAAGCTGCTTTTATAGATTTATGTTCTACTCAATCTCAGTGTTTTTGAAGCTAACCCAAGGACTGCATGTTAGGAAGGATTTTATTTTTTTCAATAAATTACTCAGTGCATGGTAGTAAGAGCCTCTCTCTCCATGTCATCTCTCTCTCCATAATGGTGATTGTAGCAACAAAGACCATTGACTTGTGTGATTTAGAGAGCCTCTTTCGGGCCTCAGCCATTGTCTTTAGGTTATTTACATTTCAAAGAGGAAGGGTATGGATGGTGAACCAAAAACAATAGTCATCAAAGAATTAAGCTTCTTTCTTGCAAAGGCAAGAACAGAAGCCTAGTAGAAGTAGATGTTTGCACAGCTCCATGTACTGGAGATTACTGGAGCGACCACTGAAGAGCTAGCAGAGTCAGTTCATAGTGCCTGCCACGAGCCTGGGCTGGGTGCCTACCGGCCAGCCACATACAAGTACTACACTGTGAGGAACAGAAGTCACTTTTGCCCTCAAGGAGCTTCTACTCTGGTGGAGGAAGGACGAGTCTATGCTTGCAATCATTCATTCATTCATTGTTTATTTATTACAAAACTCTAGCCTATGTTGGTCTCATATAATTAGTGGAGTAGAGAGGAGGCAGAGGGGGCTGGGAGTCAAGGAATTTCATCTCTCTGAAGTAGTTAAAAATAGCTGATGGCTTCCTTTCATTCCAGGTGGGCCTCTTATCTGCAGTCCCGCACATGGTGATGACCATCATAGTGCCTATTGGAGGACAATTGGCTGATTATTTAAGAAGCAGAAAAATTTTGACTACAACTGCTGTCAGGAAAATCATGAACTGCGGAGGTACTATGGATTTCATGGGTGGTGGTGGGGTTGGTGGGTTGATGGCTTTAAAAGAATGAGATGAAATTCAGCTGCAGATCATATTTTGGTAGTCTTGTCTAATAATTGCAAAAGGTCTAAGTCCATCCCCCGGCAGGGTCTTGAGTGTGTGTCGTACCCCTGCCAAGCAGGCACTCAGCCTGAACTGAGGCACCTTGGTTGACAAAGGAGCACACACCTGCAAATGCAGAAACACACTTCTGTCCGTCCTCCAGCCAAAGAGCCTGATTTCCTGCTACACAGCTGTTGATTGTTTATCCTTCCTGGCCATCCTCCTACATATATAATCCTTTGGTTGTACAATTTATTCCCTTATCTCCTTCTTCCTTTTGTATATAGACATGTTTTAGTAAGAAGCATAAGAAAAGTCTTCTCTCAATAGTCTTCTTTGCTCTCAACATGTACTTACACATACACACACACACACACACAATCCTCTTTCCTGCTTTTTAAAGTTCCTGCTTTATGTTTTGATTTTACAGAGATAAAGTGGAAAGTGGGTGATTTCCCCAAAGTCTAGGTGTCAGTAATCATGAGCCCATACCGTCTTCGTGATATCTCTTTTTAAAAATAAACAACAAACCCTCTGTTTTCTCCTTATCTCTTTTGTTTTGCTTTTAAAATTAGCGTTTATTTATTGAATACTTTCTGTGCCAAACACTAAGCTATCTTTTACATTCATGACCTTATTTAATCCTTATAAAAGTAAGTGCTGTAATTAAACCCAATATACAGTGAGGAGATGGGTAAAATAAAAGGAATTATGCAACTGGCAGATCCAGGGCAGGTTCCCAGGTCTGCCTGAGCTTATTGCAATGCTCGTAGTTGCTACTGCTACCTCTCCAGGAGCTGAGTAGGGTGGGCAGGTAGGACAGCTCCATCTATGGGCAAAAGGCCACAATTAGGAGACTGAATTGAAAAGGAGGGATTTGGGGGATAGGTACTGTGACTCTAGATAAGATGGGCCCTCGCCATTTAGAAGTGGCCATTATCTGGAGGGACACAAGTACAGAGATGATTTGACCTGACTGCCGCTCAGAAATAAAGTCATTAGTTCAGTTTCCCTGTCAGCGATGAATGGGTTCACTTTCATTACCCCTGAGGTCCAAATTTTGTCCTTAAGCTTCTGAATCATGCAGTGCTATCTCTAGCATTTCATTGTAAATATAGGAAGAACATAGGATAAGCTCTTAAATACTTTTTCTTCCTTTGGAAATCTACTATTTGGCAAAGATCTTTTTTTACCCTTAAAAAGGAACAAATGTATCATTAGTAAGTTTTATTCTTTGTACAATGTCTTCATTCTGATTGTTTGGGGAAATTAATTTTCTGGTATAACCTTTGTTGAGAGTGTTAAAAGAATCTTTAGACAGATGCCTTCTTATTTAGAAGGTTTGAATTGGACTGTTCAGGACAGTAAAGTTTCTTCACAAAATAGAGAAATTAGTGATGGGAGAAAAGTATAGCTGGCGAAGGAACAGTCTGTAAAAATACATGCAGTCGTGAAACAGTCTTGTGATTAATCAAGACAAGACTCATGGATCTGTGTGGCTCTAGCAGAGAGCTGTGTATGGACTCAGGGTGGTGAGCAAGAAGCTGAGGTTTGGCAGAAGGAGAAACTGGAAGTGCAGGAGGCATTAAATAATTATTAAATAATGTTCTACTGATAAACACCTGGAACCCTTGACCAAAGTTTTAAGCAAAGGGGGTAGCTGATCAACTGTAGCTTAGAAAGATACTGATGTAGGGCCTTCCTGGTGGCACAGGTGGTTGAGCACAGCGCTGTGAAGCTGTCTGCATCCTCTGCAGTGCCGGTTCGATCCCTGACGGCCACGAAGCAACCCACATGGTGCGGCAGACCTCTCCTGCCTCACCCTCTGCTCCCCTCAGCAATGTATTTCAGTCAGTTTGTTGGCTCTGTTCCCCACTCTGTCTCTGGTGAATCTTCTCACCCTCCCGCATCTGGCCTATACCCCAGTTTTTGTATAAATAAATAAATCTTTAAAAATAAAAAAAAGAAAGATACTGATGTAGAGAAGGGATGGGAGGAAGCATAGAGGCTACTGAATCTGTGCAGCTGAGAGGTAATGGGACCCTGAACTCAGACACTAGCAGAGGAGGGGAGGCAGGGGTCACACATTCTTGTGTGAAATCTGATCCTGAAGTCTCTGGCTTGGGCTTTTGATGACTTTTTGTTGAGCTGTTCCCTGTACCCCTGACTGTGCTCAATACTTTATATGCCCTATTTTCATTTACTCTGACCTTGACCTACAATGTTGTTTTATCATCTTGGTTTTCTTGGGATGAGGAATGTATGTATGAAGAGGTTTGACCAATTAGTGTGGGTCCTAGAAACGGATGGGTAGAAGATTGCTTTAGAGAAGAGGAAAAAACATGAGGTGGGGGTTTGCTTTGTTTAGAAATAAAAATTAGGGGAACAGAGACTTGATTTGGGCATGTTGTCTTTGGGGTAACCCCAGGACATCTGTGTGGAGATGGCTGGTATCAGCAGACTCCAGAATGAAGCAGCCATACATTTCCCCCACCTCACACCTCCCACCCCCAGCACACTTCATATACTGGACATGATATTTATATCATCTCTCAGTCTGCTGCTGACTAAACTTTGTGTGTGTGTTGATGAGAACACACACTTTATAATTTCCTTGTCCTTTTTTCTTTTTATTGTGTTGGGTCACTTATTCTGAATGAAAGGAACAGAAAGTATTTTTGTCCTGCTGTACTTTCTGTGCAAATAGCTTGTGGCTTTCAGAGAGAGGCCTGAGATCTTGGTAAACTTCTGGAAGGGAAGAGTTTGCCTCACGCTTCTCAAGTGTTAAGATGCTGCTTTTGGTTTCAGATATTCTGGGCACATCGACAGTAAGTATTAAGGTGTTGTCATCTCCCTTTTCTGGGAGAGGTCAGAATTTATATAATCAAAGGGAATTCATTGACACTATATAGGAGAGTTTTAGTGTTTCGACATGGCAGGGGCAGCCCACCCATGATACTGAACATCCCTAATTCCAGGGACATCATTGGGACCTACTGGAATCACCCAGTGTTCAAGGGACACCAGAGTGATGTTGGAAGCTCAAAGACTGTCTGGATAATAATTACATAGTCATGTAGTGGGGAGACTCTTGGGCAATGTTGTAAGCACTGTGCCAAAACATACACATAAAAGCTTAGGTCTGTGGCAATACTAATAGATTCACGTCTGATAAATTTATGAACTTGAGTTTAACTGATATAATGATGGCATTTCCTTCCCTCCCCCCCCACCTATTTCCTTTCCAGGATTTGGCATGGAGGCAACCTTACTACTAGTGGTTGGCTTTTCCCATACCAAGGGGGTGGCTATCTCCTTCCTAGTGCTTGCTGTAGGATTCAGTGGCTTTGCTATTTCAGGTAAAGTGTCCTTTTGGTTTCCAAATCTTCTCTAAGGTCTGGCAATTCTGGGGGTGGAGGGGGATGGTAAAAGATACTATAGCACCTACAGTATCCTTTAGAATAGAGACCATTTCTAAGGTGCACGGCCACTGGCTAGGACTTTCACTGAGTAGAGGTGACTTTGTAAGATCACCAAGCCTGGGGCTTTGGAGCCCAAACTGGCATTGTCCTTAGTTGCTCCATCTTGGAAAAAGACACAAAGGGCAGGCGACCCCCTGAGGCAGGAGCAGAGGCCCCAGTTTGTCTCCTGAGAGAAATGGACTGTTAGACATCAGCCCCAGGTCAGCCTACCTCCCCGGGGCTCTTGTGACCTATTCAATCTCACAGCTGCCCTTGGGGATATCAGTGGTTTTGGTATCCCCATCTTACAGGCACAGAACCCAGATTACCACATGCGAGAGGAGAGCTCTCCTATCATATCTCCCAGACTTTACAAGCTCCCAAGGCAAAACTGGAAGAAAATGTAAAACTCAGCTGTTTATCTACCTTTGAAACATATTGTAATCCTAAAAGGCATCACTTATAGAACAATTGGCATACATGGCCTCTGTCCCACTGTATTGTGAAGTAAATGGTAATGTCACTATTTTAATGGTGAGGAATCTAAGTCAGGAAAAACTGGTACTTTGCTCATGTCACCCAATTGGTGGCAAAAGAAGGACTGAAGTGTGGATCTGCCTGGCTCGAGGCTGCGTCCTTCCCACCACATCTGGAGGGTCTGCATGGTGAGGGCCCAGAGTAGAGACATATGGGGCTTTGGAAGTTCTCTAAATCACCCTGAAATAGGGTTTGATCTTATCAAAATAAACAGAGCTGATGAATAAATTAAAAGTACCTTGCAGCTGAGGACTTAGGCTTGGAGGTACCCAGAACCAGGTATCAGGCCCCTCTTTACTATTTACTCTTTATGGAAGAAAAAAATGTGTTAAATTTTTTAAATTCTTAAGTCACAGTTTGCTCATCTAGAGATTAGAGAGATGGAAGGGCAGCCAAATTGTGTGGTTGGGAGACAGCCATGAACTGAGCTCATTCCTGTATTCTCTCATACTTTGCATGAAGGAGGCACTGTTCTTGGCATGGGATATTGCAGTGAAAAAAAGGAAAAGTTTCTGTCCTCATAAAGTTTGAAAACAAAGCATTTAAAACCCTTAGTTCCGTGCCAGATATATAATGACATTAGTAAGTGTTCATTGTTGTTCAATTATTCTTCACGCTCGGCCATTTCTTCTCAACCATTAATGTGCACAAAAATCAACTTGCAAAGGCAGCTAGGATTCACCAGGGCCAGAGTGCAGCTTGAGAGTCTGCATTTCTAACAAGCTCCCCAGCAAGGCTAATTGATCTCTTCCATACTTTGTTTTGAGTAGCCAGGATAGAGCAATAAAGACTTATTTCCAGTGGGATGTGCGGAACACTTTCCCTTGATAGCTCTATGATGAAAAGACATTCATATCCTGTCCCCAGAGATATTAAAATATTCAGGTTCATATTGTCCTTGGATTGCCAATTAAACCACCATCGGGGCAAGAGGAGAGAAACCCAATATAACAAATCACAGCCTCTGCCTTCTTTTTTTTTCAGCATTTGTCCCATGCTGGCTACTTTTTAAAAAATATATGTATAGTACACAGTAAACTATGATTTCACCACAAAATCAAATTGTGTAATTATTCTGCTGTCTGCTTTTTAGACATGATTTTTAGACTCACTTAATCCCCATAGCAACCCTATGAGAAGGTGTAGGGTAAAGAAAATGTCAGGCTTTTCTGCCCTCCCGCCATCAGGACAGATGACGGATCTGTGGTCCTGAATGCATGGCTGTTGGCGGGCACCTGGGGTAGGGTGTGGGCATAGGTAGATGGGATTCACCTGGGCTGAGACTGGGCTTTTAAGGGCGACGTCACGGGGACGCCAGCAGAAGCCGAAGAGAAGCTGAGAAGAGCAGAAGAAGCGGAGAGAGAAGCTGAGAATGTCGGAGAGCCCAGATAGAGTGAAGACTTGCTGGGGGCTGGGAGGACAGCCAGGCTCCTGGACCTCCAGCACCCCTGCCTGCTTTGTACTGGGTAAATCCCATTAAAAGACCTGCAAAAGCCACTGAGGACTCTGACTCCTCCTTTACCCGGTCTGCTGGATCAGAAAACCTGCACTGTGTCCAGGTCCTGACCCTACAGAAGGGTATTGCTATGTCCACTTTACCAGTGAGGACACTGAGGCTTAGATAGGTGACTTAACTTGCCCAGGTAAATTAAGTGACTGGGACTGGAGTAAATATTTGTCTGATACCACAGTGACACAGTGGAGGGACTGTGGCTATGGGGGTTGGAGATGATCATTCCTCAGATCTGAGATCTGCTAACTTTGTAAGGAGCTCATAGGGATGCCAGGGAAGCTGGACATAATTTAGCATTTAATTAGAGACAAGAGAGCAGACACAGGAGAGATAAGAATGATAAAAGGGATGGGTGAAGTTGGCCTCAGGAAGTGCCCTATATAGAGAAGACAGTCTCTCCCAGCTTTTGTGCATTTCTTCTTTTTTTGCATCTGCTAACAAAAAAAGAAATCTATGAATATCTCAGTTGCTCAATGATATTTCCCCCTGAACACCAGGATTGTGCAGCTAGAAACCTAAATGACTTTTCTCACATTATCTTTAGCTGAACACAGATGCCTAGGCTTTGTATCAGAATATAATACTCAACAATCATATTAATTGCTTCTTATCACTGGGTTCTTTTCTAATAAAGTATTTATCTCATTCAAATCAACAGTAAGTTTAATTAATCTTGCAGCTGTTTTATATTCTGATTGTCTGCCATTTTGATCTGAAAGAGTAGGTATGTTTATTACAAAAAAGGCTTTCTCAAAAGTCTCCCTGAATGGAGGTAGAATAAAACAACTGTCAGGTCAGAAAAAATAGCTTATAAAAAATCTATTTTCAGGTTCTTTGCACAGAATAAGAATTAAAAAGCAAAGGAAAACAAAAATATGAATTAAAAAAAATTCTACATTGCCCTGCAATAATTTCAACAGCTCAAACTGGTAATTAATTAAATAAGTATTTATTGTGTACCTACCATGTGACAGATACTTGCTGTAAATAAGAGCTGGAGAACCACCTGTAAGGAAGAGCATATATATATTTTTTTAATAATAAATTTTATTTTTATATTCCCCATACAATTGCAACCCCCCCCATTTTGACCCCAATCCCTCCCCTCCCGTTCCCCACCCCCCAAAAAGTGTCTCTGGTTCATAGTTTTTTGTTGATTTTGATTTTCACTTTCTTATAGTTATACATTTTCCTGGTCCCTTATTTAAGTTTTCTAGATTCCTGCTATGAGTGAGACCATCCGGTATTTTTCTTTTTCTTTCTGGCTTATTTTGCTGAGCATGATCCCTTCCAGCGCCATCCATGTTGCTGCAAATTGCATGTGTTTATCTTTTTTGAATGCTGAGTCATATTCCATGGTGCATATGTACCACATCTTCTTGATCCAGTCATCTATTTTTGGGCATTTGGATTGTTTCCAAAGATTAGCTATTGTAAACAGTGCTGCTATAAACATAGGGGTGCAGGTGTTCTTTGGAATTGATGTTTCTGTGTCCTTTGGGTAAATACCTAGGAGTGGAATTGCTGGATCATATGGAAGCTCTATGTTTAGTAGGTCCAGAAATCTCCACACAGCTCTCCATAGTGGTTGGACCAGTTTGCACTCCCACCAGCAGTGCAGGAGAGTTCCTTTTTCTCCACACCCTCGCCAACATTTGTTGTTGCTAGTTTCTTTAATATGTGCCATTCTCACTGGTGTGAGATGGTATCTCATGGTAGTTTTGATTTGCATTTCCCTGATTACAAGTGATGTTGAACATTTTTTCATATGCCTGTTGGCCATTTGCATTTCCTCTTCAGAGAAGTTTCTTTTTAGCTCAGGAAGAGCATATATTATTTAACTCAATTCTTGCAGAAATTTTATAAGAATGATTATCCCATTTTACTGACGAAGAAGCTGAGGTTCAGAAAATTTAGTCTTGCAGCTAGGTTTGCATCCTAATTAAAATGCAGAGTTCTGACTTAATGTACCCTTGAAATGCTGGTCAACTTGGTTCCCTGGTCCTTAAAAGCCTCCTTTTTCTTAGCCTTGCCCTTCATTTCTCCTTCTTTATTCCACTCATTCTGCTGTCCTAACAAACAGATTAATAATCAGATGTTGGTAACTTGTATTATTTTACCATCCCAGCAACATTATCTTTTGAGAGGGAGATTATCTCAAGGAGAGGGAGATTCTTAGCAGCAACAGCAGCAGCAGCAGCAGGAGTGGGAGAATTGGTAGTGAGTAGAGCTCAGCTATTAGCCAAGGGTTCTCACACACAGATTTCCCGAGTCTCACCTCAGCATCTTTACGAATTAAGTAGTAATATTATCCCCATATTAGAGATGAGGACACAAATACCTGAAAACTGTTTAAGTGGTGACAATGAGATTTGAATTCAGATTTATAGACTCCAGATCCAATATATATATGTGAAAGTTTTGTACGTTAGAGCAGACTCTACCAATGTTTGTGCAAATGTTCATCATAAAATATGATATGCAACATGGTCACTAAGCCAGGCTTACTTATGGTGGCTTTTGGGAAAGAGTCAAGGGCTAAGAAGCAGGATATTATAAGGCAGAGTTTGTTTCTAAGCACACTGTACGTGATTGTGTGATTGTTTGCTTTTTAACTCTGAATAAATAGGATCCAGGCTTTCTACTTTTCAGTATAGCCCTAACACCATTTTTTGAAGTTCTGAACCTGGAGCCACAGAGTCCATAACTCTCCCCACAGAGAGACCTTGGTAAACCTTGTTAAACATCACCAACCAACCACAGGTATTGTGCCTGCTGTGTGCAGACATAGCCTGACATTTCTCGTCCCAGCCCTCTTGGTAGGGATATCCATTTGTCATAAGCTAGAAAAAACCATGTGGATGGATCTTGGGGGAAGGTAAGTATTTTCCAAAATGTCTTTGGTATTCTGTTCTTGACTGTGATTTTGAGATTTTTGACTTTACTCTAGGTTTTAATGTCAATCACCTGGACATTGCTCCCCGCTATGCCAGCATTCTCATGGGGATCTCCAACGGAGTGGGAACCCTTTCTGGAATGGTCTGCCCCCTCATTGTTGGTGCAATGACCAAGCACAAGGTAATATTTTTCTCTGGGGCTGTGGGTTATAGTATCAGAGGTCTGAAGTACTGCAAAATCTTGAGATCTCAGAGTCCTACCCTAGCCTCTAAATGTGTATGTAGTCTTTGGCCTTCGAGTCAGTTGAACTTCTTTTTTTTTCCTTAAAAAATAATCATTGTTTATTGATGGGAGAATGCCTGATTGGTGTTTGGTTCCACGTTCTCTCAACTGAGAAATAAAAGGTATGTTTGTGTGGGGAACTCCATAAAGACTGCTGTAGAAACACAATGAAGAAACTGAGGCAATTAACTCAGTATAAGTGTACCCAAGATTGCTTTATAATTCAGAGTAATTAAACTTTATAGGCTATTTCCATCTATTGCTTAACATGTTCCAGCATAAAAAAATTAGTACTGTTATACTTCCTTATTGTGAAGAAATAAACAAGACATTAATGACTGTTCCAAGAAACTACAAGGGTGTAACACAATTTTTATTGAACTTCGGTGTATTTAGATTAGGATGGGTGGTAGAATACCATCCCAGATTCTTCCAGATTTCAACCACAGGCATATGGTTTCTTTATCTCTGTCATGGAAAAGATTTCAAGATGCTGCTTTGTGCAAATAAGAAGATTTTGATGCTATGGGGGTTTTACCCAACTATTTGTTAAGTTGGATTGGCTATTACAAAAATATGACTTCTGAAATGTTTTCAGATTCTTTGGGGAAGAAAGTATAGAGTAATTTTTCTTACCTCTTGATAGAAATGGAAGGTAGGAATTGGAGATTTCATAGGCAGAACATCCATGTTCTCTCTCTTTCTGTTCCTGAGTTGATAGGACTTTGTAACATAAGTACTAAACCTCATACTAGTTTTAAACAAAAATTCACATTTTTTGATAATGTATTTTACCCAGAAAACATAACTACAAATAAATTTTTGATAGTCAAGTCTGAGCATTTTCATGGCTCAAATTATGCATCCAACAGCCAACAAGGAGACCTCATATTTTATCTATCTATCTATCTATCTATCTATCTATCTATCTATCTATCTATCTATCTATCTATGTTTATTTTGGGGAGCATAGAAGATCTGGAGTATAGGCCAGAGATTCTGGGGTGAGAGGATTCATCAGGGTCAGAATGGGGAGCAGAACAGGTGGATCTACTTCAATAAACTGCTGAGGGGAGCAGCAGGTGAGTCAGGAGAGGCCTGATTCACCATGTGGGTTAGCTCCCTGGCTGGAGATCCAACTCATGCTGCAGTAGCTGCAGATAGCTTCTTAGTGCTGAGACTTAACATCTTTCACCACCAGGAAGCCCTAATCTCTGTTTATTGCTTAAAACATTAAATTGGCACTTTCTTTCCTTGCTTAGACCCGAGAGGAATGGCAGAATGTGTTCCTGATAGCTGCCCTGGTGCACTACAGTGGTGTGATCTTCTATGGGGTCTTTGCTTCTGGGGAGAAACAGGACTGGGCTGACCCTGAGAATCTCTCTGAGGAGAAGTGTGGAATCATTGACCAAGATGAACTGGCTGAGGAAACAGAACTCAACCATGAGAATGACAATATTGCAAGCCCCAAGAAGAAGATGTCCTATGGAGCCACCACCCAGAATTGTGAAGTCCAGAAGGAATGGAGAGGGCAGAAAGCAGCAACCCTGGATGAGGAAGAGCTGACCTCCTACCAGAATGAAGTGGGAAATTTCTCAGATGCATTCTAAGGCGTGTTCACGGCCTCCTCACCTTAGAGCTAGAAAGTATCCATACCCATTGCCTTCCCCATAGCCTGGCTCACCAGTGGGTTAAATATGGGGGCACCAGAAGTAAGGGAGAGATTTACTTAGCATTAGGGAAAAGAGAACTATCTTGTAACGATGCCTGCCTGTGCATATGGAACTTGCTGTAAGTTGACAAAATGGGTGTAAATGTTATTTTTTTATTGGTAGTTGACTCTTCTCTCAAAGGACTGAACTTCTTCAGAAATGAATGACTAGAAAGATAAGAAAAGGTGTATCATGTTTTTCAAAGAAAAATGGAAGGAAATGGGTATATTTAGCCTGGAGAAGAGAAAACAATAGGCGACACTACCTTTTGGAGGGAGCGGTGTTGAAGAGGGCCACTCCCGGAGGTTATCTTGCCAGGGCTGAGATTAGTGGGGTCCAAAATAGGTTTTGGGGAAGAAGTTTCCTCTCAAGGCAAGGAAGATATTTTAATTTAAAAAAAAAAAAAGCGTTGAAAATGGAGTGTGGTTTGGTTAATTCCTTATTTTGGCAGACATGGGGGATGGGAAGCAAATTGGTTGATGTGGCCGAAATATTCAAACACTCAGTGAGGGGCTGCATTCAAAGTCCCTTCAGGCGCTATATGAGCAGAAAGTCAATGATTCTGTGAATTCATCATTTGGAGAAGATCATAGATCCAAAGGGGAGAGTCAAATAGGTTTATAAAAAGAAAATGTGAAAGCTAAGAAGATAGTCAAATGTCCAGGAATCTGATTGTCCGAATGGCTGAGAAGTAAACAGGGGTGTGGCTATTAAATTGCAACCCTCATCATGTCAAGAATGTGGTTAAATAATGTCTCAAATTTACTTATATTATCATTAACACATTTAGTAGTTGAAGAAGTAAATTCATGCATTTTATTTCGCAAAAAATTTTGAGAGTCTTCTGTTTAAAAAAAAAAATGTATGTCTTTAGTCATTTCCCCTGATGATTATATTAGGAAGTTGGATCAAATGATACAAAATTTTGATTAAAGTATTCCTAGTGACTGTATTTAGAATGATATTCAGGAAACCACAATAAGGTAGTGGTCATTACACAGGAAATACTAGTATGAGAACGTCTGGAACAACTAAGACACACGTGTTAAAAATTTCATCTCTAATTGCATAAGGCAAAAACATGGATACTCTCTAGATATAGTAAAATTTCATGCTGGCATGTAAAGGATTATTTGAGAATAAAATTATTTTCCTGTTCATTGTTTTTGAAAATTTTGTTTCTACTTTCAGAAGGAAAATATTATACAGAAGAAAAAGTTACAGATTTACTTATAACTTGTTATTGCAAAGTGTTTTGTTTTTTTTTTTTAAGCTTTCTCATATTTCTTTCTGGTCCCTAATTGTACCAGCAGAGTTGTGGTGTATTTTATAAAAAGAATAATTTTGAGAAACAAAGAATTGCTGGCTCCAATATATAATATTCTTAATGTCATTGGGATATAATTTATTTTATTGTACATCTTTAAATAACTTTAATGAGAGAATCCATGTGAATCCTCTAGAAGAGTTCCTGGCATGTGGAAAGTATTTAATTCAATAAATATTAGCTATTGTCATCATTATCATCTTTTAACATTTCAGGGAGATTTTCAGTTGAAAGCATGCTGTGCCTTTTTTATCAATTAACTACAGAATTTATTGTGAAAATCATGCTGTTCTTAAATTAAAAAAGTAAGAAATTTAAGCTCTTTAATATTTTTTTCTTCTGCTAATAAAGTAAAAAAATTTTAACATTTTTTTGATATTTCTTAAGGTAAAAATGTAGATTTTGACAGAAAACTGTATTTACTTCATCATTAAAGGCAATGACATATGCAGAAACCCCACATTTTGATAAATCAAAACATTTAGGGTACCTGTAAACTAGCCTTATATTATAATTTTTTTAAATAAAGCACTGGATTGGGCCTCCCCGGTGGCACAGCGGTTGAGCTCTGGGTTGCGAAGCTGCCCACAGCCTCTACAGCGCCGGTCCGATCCCCGGCTGCTCCCCGGCCACTGGAGGAGGGTCCCACATGGCGCGCAGACCTCTCCTGCCGCCCGCTGCTCCCCTCAGCAGTGTACTTCGGTCCTTCTGCCTGCTCTGCTCCCTGCTCTGGCTCTGGTGAATTCTCTCACCCTCCCGCGCTTCTGACTGTACCCAGTGCATGTATAAATAAATAAATAAATCTTTAAAAAAAAATCCTTTAAAAATAAATAAATAAAGCACTGGATCATTCATGGTCATAAAAGCCAGAAAAAACATTATTTTGTTGTTATAGGTTTTGCTCTGTGAAGGCTGCGGTGAGCTAGTAATTTGAGCACTAGACAGAGGCAGTTTGCAAGTCATTGTGCATTCTGCTGCAAATACCCATTTGTAGATCAACCCTCGGAGGCATACCGGATGGATTCTGGCATGGATTCTGGCAGGAAAGGAAGGAGATCTGAGCATGCTGGAATCCTGAGACAATGAAGGTTTGACTGGTCCTTTTGACAGTATGATAGTCTTGAAGACTTGAATATAATAATAATAATAATAATAATAATAATAATAATTCTTCAAGAAATTGGCTGGAGAGTTGCTACCATCTGGATCCACTTGCCTCCCCTCCTTAAAATTTCTCCTGTGTATGCATGTGAGGGGAGGGGTGGTAGAGGTGGTGGGCCCGGGACACTACCTTTCAGACAGGGTTTATGGCAAAGCAGAACCAATGTCCCTCCCCAAAACTGGGCAATGTAGGGTAAATGATGATTGATAGGCTTTGACACCGCTGGCTTCTGTGGCTATCCTCTGCGGCCTTAATGGTGCTAATGCAGGAGGCACTTGGGAGCATGGGCTTGGCCCGCAGGCCTGATGGTGGACACTGGGAGTAAGGCATGGGCATGTTTAAGTGGGCACACCTGAGCCCAGAGGCTGAGGCTGTAAGGGCAGCAGTTGCAGAGAACAACTAAGAGAGGGAGAAACCACGAGAGGAAGCCAGAAAGAGCCCAAGGAGAAAGGTTCCTGGCCTCCTTCCCTCCCCCACAACCGCCCCTGCTCTGGGCCTTGCCAGTGTAGTGCCAGCAAGGCCCAGAGCAGGTGTTCTATGATCGGGGCAGACAGGTAAAGAAAGAGTCCTGGAGCCCTGGGTGGCTTTTTCAGGCTTTTAATGATCTTTCTACGCCATTGGTAGAGAGGCCACCAGGTGCAGGGCTGGCAGGGAGGGGGAGGGGAGAGTGGTAGGAGGTGGGGGTGGGGTGGGGTGGGGCGGGAAGCTGGCAGGCCTCCTAGCCCCCAGCGAATCTGGGCTCTCAGGCCTTCTGTCGTGATCTCTCCTCTACTGCCATAAGGTCACCACGCTCTGTTCTCTGCTCGTCGCAGCCCTTCCAGGCTCAGCGTCCAGGCTCAGGTGTGCTCACTCATGCACGCCCACGCCACTCTCCAGGTGCCCCATTAGGTGCACGTGTAAGCCCACAGGTGTCATTGATGCTAATGGCAGGAGGGCGGGAAAACCTGATCACTTCCATTTACCCTCCGGCCAGCCTGCGGGCTTGTCCCACAACAATTGGTGGAGAAAGAGACTTAAAGCTTGAAAAAGCCACGGAGGGCTCCAGGACTCTCCTTTACCATCTATCGAATCGATAGACAACCTGCCGGCACCACCGTGAGGATGCTGAGTTGTTTTTCCAGCGAAGTTTTCACTTGGCCACAAATTCCATGTGGAAAGAGTTTCACAGGAAGGAGCAGTGACAGCAAAGTCTCAAAGCCAGGCAGAGTCACTTTTGTCCTGAATAGTGTTGGTGTGGAAGTAGTTACCCAAGTGTCTTTATGTGAGACCTTCATACTTCTCTACTTGGGGTCCACAGGACACCCCCAGCAAATATGAACTAAAAGGTAAGTGTATGTGATGCGGTCACTTTTACCTGGAGAGAGGGTCTATATGTTTATTATTTTTTTTTTAAAGATTTACTTATTTACATACAAGAACTGGGGTACAGGCCAGAGGTGTTGGGGATGAAATGAGAAGATTCACCAGAGACAGAGTGGGGAACAGAACAGGTGGATCTACTGAAATACACTGCTGAGGACGAGAGCAGTGGGCGAGACAGGAGAGGTCTGCTGAGCCATGTGGGTATCTCCCTGGCCAGGGATTGAACTCATGCTGCAGAGCCAAGGACAGCTTCATAGGTTTTGCGCCACCAGGGAGGCCCTCTGTATATTTCTTTATATCTCCCATCATTTCAGAACTGTCCACAGATCCCAGTGAGGCTAAGATTTACCCAGAATGAGCTACAGATGATACATTGAAGGCACCCCAATAATTAGTTGATAGTCAATGCCTAAGAAACTTTTTTGGAAGCCTGATTTTTTGGCTTACTATCTGGCCTTCTCATCTCCTTCTTTTTGTCTCATCTGTCTGCTTTGTTTAATCTCATTTTTCCACTGTCTCCTTCCTTCATTTGGATTCTTCTTTTTTCTTTCTTGTGCTTTCCTTTCGTTCATTCTCTCCTGACTGTGGGCACCTGACTGTGGGCGCTTGGCTTAAAGGGTTGGGGTGGTCTGGTAAGAAAGAGTTTCTCCAATTTGTTTCTCTACCATCATTTTCCACTGTTCCTAGTCATGGTTATAAGATAGTGGAATAAAATAGATAAGCTTATTTTGAAAGAACTTGCATAATTTCTTCTCAAGCCATTTAACATCTGACCATAGTATATAATAAAGCATGATGATGAGCACCCTGGGAAGAAAATGTTAACATCCTTGAGAGATTAATGGGAAATACAATGAGGTGCTGCGAATAAATATCCATAAAGGCTGGTTAAGTTATCACTTAAAGAACCATTAAAAATGCTATTTATACAACCAAAGAGAACCCCACTTGTCTGCAGATCAAATAATTATGCACAGCAAGAGCAAGCATCTTGGCTTTGGCTAATTAAGGAATTTTTTCACAGAATAGCTTTTTATATTTTGAGAGTGCTGGTTGTTTAAAAGTTCTTTTCAAGATTGTATGTGCAAAGATCAGCTTTCAATCTTGGACATTTCTAAGAAGGACGTAATGCTCCCTTCATCATTTCAGCATAACATAGAATTGAAACTCCACAGTTTAGAGTTCATAGATACTTCCTTTTTAATCTTTAGGGCACATTTCATGACGAGTTGTTGTCTCAGACATGATCCTTTTTTATTTATTTATTTATTTATTTATTTATTTATTTATTTATTTATTTTGACGTGCTTCATTCAGAGACACTTTATTGTGTGAACGTCAAGCAGGATGGACTGTTGAGAGGTAAGTGGTAAGTGTCGAGCATGAGACTGGAACACATTCTCCATGGTGACTGCAGGATGAGAGCCATGTGAGCTGCCTGACTCTCGCTACCCAGAGCATTCCAGAACTGGCTATCACAGAGGGTGAGCCATCAGCCACCACCTAAGAATGCCAAGGGCCAACGTTCATGATCCTTTTTTAAATCAGGGTTGTTTTAATTCTATTCTTAGTTTGAAATGGGGTAGTCAAATGACTCCTGCTCTTTTTAGTTCTTTATTCATATTTTCACATGGTTTTTTTTTTGTTGTTGTTGTTGTTTTTTGTTTTGTTTTTTTTTTTTGTTTCACATGGTTTTAATATATTTGAGGATAAGATTTCATTTTATTTATTTCATTTTTTTAAAGATTTATTTATTTATTTATACAAGCACTGGGTACAGTCAGAAGCGCGGGAGGGTGAGAGAATTCACCAGAGCCAGAGCAGGGAGCAGAGCAGGCAGAAGGACGAAGTACACTGCTGAGGGGAGCAGCGGGCGGCAGGAGAGGTCTGCGCGCCATGTGGGACCCTCCTCCGGTGGCCGGGGAGCAGCCGGGGATCGAACCGACGCTGCAGAGGCTGCGGGCAGCTTTGCAACCCAGCGCTCAACCGCTGC